GGGCTGGCTGCCCGTAGTCTCCACCTCACGTCCCAGGCCCCATGTGCCACAGGCTTCTGGGGAGAACCTTGCCCACCCTTGTCCAAGTCACCTGGGAGAGAGATGGCCACGTGAGCAGGGGCCGGGGGCCGTGTGGCTCCCAGAGGACGCTGATCCGCATGAAATGAACAGAATCTTCCTTCTTTGATTTTTTTGTTCTGTTTTTTTTGGGGGGTGGGGGCGCACCTGGCACTGCTCAGATGTTACTCCTGACTCTGCACTCAGGGATCACTCCTGGAGGTGTCCAGGGGACCCTACGGGAGCCAGGGATAGAACCCCGGGACAGAATTCTGGGTTGGCCACACTCACAGCAGCACCCTGCTAGCTGTGCTCTCTCTCCAGCCCCAGAGTCTTCCTTCTGAGACCCACCGCGGCCTGGGATGAGCATGGGTGGCCCCCTCCACCCTCAGTCTCTTCTGGAAGGTGCCACAGAACCCCACTTTTTAAAAAAATTTATTAGTGAAACACCATGAGGTACAGTTGTAGACTTACAAATTTTTGTGCTTGGGTTTCAGTTATACAATGATCGAGTACCCATCCCTCCACCAGTGCCCATTTTCCACCACCACGGGTCCCAGTATCCCTCCCACCACCCATCCCTCCCATCCCACCCTGCCTCTGTGGCAGGGCATTCCCTTTTATGGAGAACCCCACTTGACCCCTTTCTTCCCTCTTATTCTACCTCTCTCAAGCCACGAAGGGCGCCAGCTCCTCCTCAGGCAGGCCACTTGACACAGAGCGTCCAGACGTGGTTGTCTGGGGCCAGTGGTCAAGGCTGTGTCTGTCCTTCCTTATCTCCCCTTATCCCCCACCCCCAGAAGACAGGGGCCAGGATAGAGACTCCAGGGGTGGCAGGGAGACGAGAGCCCAGAGCCCACCAGGAAAAGAGGGACGTGCAGGACTAGTAGGGACTCAGGAGCCTTGGGACTCAGTGCTAGCCCCATGGGTGGTTTTTGTGTTTTTACTTTTTTACTGAATCACTGTGAGACAGACCCTTACAAAGCTGTTCATGATTGGATTTCGGTCATACAGTATTCCAACACCCATCCCTGCACCAGTGTACATTTCCCAGCATCAGTGTCCCCAGGTTCCCTCCCATTACCCCACCCCCACCCCACCCCCTACCTGCCTTTATGGTAGGCGCTTCTTCCCACCACCACCCTCCTTTTGGGCATTGTGGTTTGCAATATTGATACTGAAAGGTTATCAAGAATATCCCTTTACCTACTTTTAGCACTCAGATCTTGGCCAGCATGCTCATTCCCTGCTATTACTGTCACACTGTCTCTTCTCTATCTTATCTACCCTCAGCCCCCCCACCCCCACACACACACTTGTGGTTAATTCCATGATCACGATCATGATCATGATCACAATCATCCTGTTGTTCATCGATTGCCTCGAGCAGGCACCAGTAACGTCTCCTTCGTCCTAGCCCTGAGATTTTAAAAAGTGCCATGTTCAAGGCTCTTTCAGGGTTAGGAGAATGAGACCCATCATTGTTACTGGTATTTGGCATATTGGGTACGCCACGGGGAGTTTGCCAGACTCTGCCGTGTGGGCAGGTCACATTCGGTAGCCTGCCAGGTTGTCCAAAGTAAGAATGAGATAATAAGATGTCACGCACAATTCCATGGGCGGGTTTTTCATCCCAAGAAATGCTCTTCCCCGCTTCCTCTTCCACCCAGGAAGCCGGGGAGGACCAGATGAGCTGGCAGCCGCTGTGCCCAAAGCAGTTCCCAGGAAGCTTGAGTTACGGGAACAGAGTCAATGAGGAACCACTCAGACAGATGCCTGGGCTGTCCACACTCTTCAGAACCCTGCAGTGGGCACATGGCCTGTGGAGGGCGCTACAGGTACGCAGGGGCCCAGGGTAAGGGAATGCCACAACTCCCACTTTCTTTTTTTGTTGTTGTTGTTTGCTTCTCTTTGTTTCGGGGCCACACCCAGCCATGCTCAGGGCTTACTCCTTACTCAGGAATCACTCCTGGTGGCTCTGGGGACCCTATGGTGCCGGGGATCCACCCAGGTCAGCTACGTGCAGGACAAGTGCCCTACCCACTGCCCTATGTATCTCCCAGACCCTCAATATTCACTTTCTCCCCAAGCTTCTGCCCGTGCCTTAGACAGATCTCTGAGGACTGGAGTCCCCGAGAAGTTTGGGGCTCTCAGTCTCTCCACGACAGCACCAGCAGAGAGCAGGGAACAAGGCAGGTGAAAAGGGTCCTTTCTGCTGAAACAGAGAAGACATCTGGGAAGAGGAGGTATCTGGGCCAGATCCTCAAAGTTCCAACACACGGAATGAGCGGGGCAAGGAGATTCCAGGGATGAGTGTGAGCAGAGACAGGGAAGGAGAAGGAAGCAGGAATAATGCCGAGAGCAGCTCACAACAGCCTTCGAGGCTGGGCCAGATGGGGTCCCAGCTGGGCCCAAGCTGGAACAAACTGACTCATCATTAAGTTTTCCTTCCCTGCAACTTTTTTTTTTTATTTTCTGGTTTTTGGGCCACACCCAGTGGTGCTCAGGGATTGCTCCTAGCTCTGCACTCAGGAATCACTCCTAGCAGTGCTTGAGGGACCCCTACGGCATGCGAGGGATTGAACCCGGGTCGGATGTGCATAAGGCAAGTGCCCAACCCGCCGACTATCACTCTGGTCCCTGCAACTTTCTTTCTTTTTTTTATTTTTTGCTTTTTGGGTCACACCTAGTGATGTAGAGGGATTATTCCTGGCTTTGCACTTAGGAATTACCCCTGGCAGTGCTCAGGGCACCATATGGGATGCTGGGAATCAAACCTGGGACGGACGTGTGCAAGGCAAATGTCCGACCCACTGTGCTATCACTCCAGCCCCTCCCTGCAACTTTCTTAGCTGAAATGCCTGAGTCAAATAAAGAACTCCTACAACATTTCTCCTCCTCACCCCCAGAAAATGGAGCCAATAGAGGCAGACGTGGGCGCCAGAGCCAAAGGCGATTTCTACGAGTGCGTGTGACCACAGTTCTGGCTCAGATAAAAGGCAAACGCATGCTGCAGAGTTTTGTTTTGACTCGTCACCTAATAAGAGAACCAATAAGTAAGCTGTGATGAGCGGGGAGGGAGAGATGGCGGGGGGGAGGGGGGGGGAGGGGGGGAGGGAGGGCAAGGAGGCAGGCATGTGCCACCTTCAAAAACGCTGATGTGCATGCACCCAGGAAGTGGAACCAACGGCACCAGCCCAGCTCCAGGGAGCAGCCACCCAACCCCCCCCCCCCCCACAGGTACTGCCCAGAACAGGAAGCGCACGGGGAACTCTCAAACGCTTTCTGAGAGCAGAGCTCCCTGGCCCCAGGACCCCCACAGCCACGCAAGCCCCTTCAGCTTCGTTGTGTTCTCGATGCTGCATGGGTGTTGGCTGGGGTGGGCCCTGCGGTGCCAGGGACTAGGCCGAGGGTCTCCGGCAGGCGGGCACATGCTGGCCATGTGTGCACTCAGTCAACTTCCTGACTCATCTCAGAGCCCCCACTATGCTTCCCGAGGAAGTGAAATGCGTGTCGTGGAGAGACTGAGAGCCCCAAATGCGTGTCTGCATGTGGAACGTAAACTCTCAGGCACGTGTCTCGGAGAACCACCATGAGGAGGGAGGCTCGGAATGTAGGCACGCAGCTGGGCCATTGGCTGGACTGGGCAGGAGCCAGGTTCACTCTCCCCTGGGGACCTTCTTGGGCTGCACCATGAGCCAGCTGAGAGCAAGAGCAAGCCTCCCCCTGCCCTGCCCCCCGGCCCTCTGGTGGGCTTCCGGAGAAGCCCGACACCCGCAAGCTCAGGCAGCTCACGGCAGCCCTGCCCTGGACTCACCAGGACCTCTGAGAAAGCAGAGGCCCCACTCCAGAAATCTCACCCAAGAGCCTGATTCTACAGCTCAAAGTGGGGCCAGAGCAACGCGGGCTTTAAAAACCTCCTGGGAGCAACCAGCACAGGAAGACAGCAGGCCACAGGAGCCGACCCTTAGTGGAAGACGCTGGGGAGAGCCTGGCTTGCCACTGACAGACGAGAGCCTCGGTCCCTGACAAGAGTATCTCAGAACAGAAGTGCATGTCAGACAGAGACCATAAAAGAAGCACAATTCACAGGCTAGAAATTTACCTCGGGGACAGAGCAGAGGCTCCTTGTGTACGTGAGACCTACTGCTGCCAAAATAGAAAAGAAAAGAAATGAAAAGAAAAGAAAAGAAAAGAAAAGAAAAGAAAAGAAAAGAAAGCAGCACACTCCACGACTTGGTCAGACTTGGCAAACACCCTGAAGTATGCCGGTATCTTCCACTGGGTGTGTCATTAATTCAGTGAGCCATTTGCTGAGGGCAATGCTGGCCTGGATTCCAGATGCCCAGGTGTGCCGTGTTGGTTATAAGGTAGGTGCCATGAACCCGGGATGCCCACAGATGCTTGTGCTGACAGGAAGTGGCACTGAGTGCATGTACACACACACGCGCGCGCGCATGCATGACACAGGTGGTGACGCATTGCCATGTACACACACGCACATGCGTGACATGGGCAGTGATTACACTGCCATGCACACATGCGCACACGTGCACACACACACACACACACACACACACACACACACACACACACACACATACATGGGCACTCATGCACTCCACACTCATGAAGCGGCCTCCAATTCAAGGATCAAGGTCCGAGAGTGAAAAGGTGTCCCTCTGGGCTCAGCAATCACCTTTGGGTGGGCTGGAGTGTGTGTGGGGGGCAGTAATGTACAAAGCAGCTGATGGCGAGTCCCCGTGCCTTGTCGCCCCTTCCCACTAGTCCGAGACCTTCTGATAGGCATCAAAAGCTGATATAATCAGGGACAGCCCTGAACGCACTTGTCACATGCGTGTGTGTGCTGGAGGCGGGAAGCCCTGCCTCCCTCCCACTCCCCCCCCTTCTCTGCCCCACCCCCAGCCAGCCCGGACACTTACTGCAGGCCGCACAGGTGAAGCAGGCGTCGTGGTACAGGCTCCCCATGGCCTGGCAGGCCTGGCCGGCCCCGAACACCCCTTTGCTGCACTTCACGCAGGCTCCTGCAAGGACAAGAACATACCAGTGAGTCAGGAGGGAAATGGGAGAGACTGAGCAAAGGGGGAGAGGCGCCCTCCCCCTCACCAGCCCCAAAGCCTAGGGATGAGTCCTCCGTCATGCCTCCCTCTCACCCTCTCTCACCTCCCCACGGCAGGGACCAGCCACAAGGACAGCCTCTGGGACATCAAAAGCCGACTCCACCCTCCATCCCAGCAGGCTCAAGTGAGCCTCACTCCGTGCACCAGCCCACTCTCCTGAGCAAAGCTGTACAAGGCTGCATCCACCATGGCCATACTATACCCTGCAAGCATTCAGGGGGAGCAATTTCTTGTCTTTTCTTTGTTTTTTTTTTTTTTTTTTTTTTTGGCTATTGAGCCATGCCTGGCTGTGCTCAGGTTCAGTCCTGGCTCTACACTCAAGAATCTTGGTGTGACCATATGAGGTGCCAGGCATTGCATCGGAGTCTCCTGCATGCAAGGCATGTGCTCAGCCCCTCTCAGCAACCCCCAGCCCTCAGGCATCTTCTCTAATTGTGGTTCCTTCGGTCATGCTGTTTTCCGGTGGCAGCCTTCTGCCCAGAGTGTAGAAACCCTGGTGTGCGAGAATGCCTGTCTTCCCACTCAGCAATCCTTCACGCCATGCCCCACATCTCCCCACCTATCCCAGCAGGATCCCAGAGAATACACCGAGTCAGCACCTTAAAGCTGACTCATCACATCCCACCCCATGGAGCAGGGTGACCATCAGGAGGAACAGTCATGTGTCAGCCAAGAAAACAGGAGGTAGGAAGACTCCTTCATCGGGAGCTCCAGGATCACAAGTGTTGGTTATCTGCAGTTCTTCTGGTTTCAACATGTCACTGTGGAAACTTTCAGTCATGCAGGAATGTTGAAGGGGGGCACCCTGGGCCTGCCATCCCCATCCTCAAACTGCCAGCATTTTGCTATCCCCTTCTCAGATACGCCATCTCGTTTTCAAAGGACTGCAAAGACCCAGACCACAGTTCACTTCACCCTTGCCCCAAGCTTAAGCCATGTCTACCAGCATCAGCAGTGAGAGGGGATGCCCTCTTCATTATTTTCCACAATGAGATCCGTAAGCCATGGCGTGAATGCTTTTTTTTTCTAACATCTGAATTTTGACAAATGACCTACATGACACAGACCTGAATCAGGATACAGAATATCCCCAGCACCACAGCAGATTCCACAACACTCCTTCTCTTCTACCTTCTCTTTCGATGGCTGTGAAAATCCTTGTGTGTCTATGTCCGTGTGTCAGGAGGATGAGACTCCAGACAGCGGGACAGCTCCACCTCACAAGCGGCCAGGTCAACAGTGTCCCCGTCACTAGGAAATTGAAGGCATCCACAGAATCTAGAGCCATCAGCATTTCCTTTGGTCTGATTATTTTTTTGTTTTTTTTTTTTGGTTTTTTGTTTGTTTGTTTGTTTGTTTGTTTGTTGCTTTTTGGTAACACCCAGTGATGCACAGGGATTACTCCTGGCTCTGTACTCAGGAATTACCCCTGGTGGTGCTCGGGGGACCATATGGGATGCTGGGAATTGAAGCCAAGCCAAACGCCCTACCCTCTGTGCTATCGCTCCAGCCCCTAGGCTGATGATTTCACATACAATGTTAAGCTTCTCTTAATTTGGGAAAATGCATCTGCTCCGGGCAAGCTGCACCCCTTCCCTCTGCGGGCACGTAGAGCCGTACCCATGCAGTGGGAAGTGTGAGGAGGTCAGGAGGCCATGCCCATCCATCGCCATCCTCTGAAGACTCACTTCAGTAGGCTGCTCACTCGGGAAGCCCGGGAGGCGGAGGGGCGGCGGCTGGGAAACAGATGGCTTGCCACTGAGCACCACCCAGCAAGGGGTGTTGGTAACCGGAGGGTGCGGATAAGGAAGCACTGATGTGTTCTCCACCAGACATGGCCCCTGGCATGGTTTCTGGTTGCCTGGGCACCCTCGGCCTCCACAAGTGAACAGGAATCTCTTCAGGACATGAGTGTCTCTTCAACGTGGCCCGTGCAGATGTTCAACAAAGCGCTTTTGAGTGGCATTACTCCCCCAGCAGCCCCCTGCCCCCCACTGTGGGCCTTCCCTCCCCTCTTCCCTGGCACACACCCCCTTGCATCTTGGCCACATATGTGGGACCCAGGAGGGCTTTCCTTTCACAGAGATTCAGAGTCAGACGCATCTCTGAATACCCAGCCCCTGACATCGGGCGCTCAGCAAATGTACGTGGGGACAGAGGAAAGGGTTACGAGGACACAGGCTGAGCTCCAACTGTTAAGACATCAGGTGAAGGGGCAGAGAAAGCTGTCCTGAATTACACCAATGATCAAGCAACGGCAGGGCTTGGGGCCTAAAGGCCCGGAAGCCACTCCTGGTGATTCTCAGCCAACTGGCTAGCAGTTCAATGTGAGGGACTAGAGACATATTGCTACTCAGCCCTGCAGGGCTCGGGACCACCAGGAACATCCCAGTGGCCTCCACTCAGGGACCACCACGCCCCTGAAATGTTCACTTAACGTGGTGCAGGGGACAGAACCAGAACAGGGCACTTATGAGGCACGTGCCCTCTTCCCTGTTCTACCTCCCCAGGACCCAATGGCAAGGCGTTAAGACTATTTACTCATTCTGAGGCCCACTTCTGGACCACACTGTCCCTAGTGCCTTCGTTGAGGTCACTTTAAGTCTATTTAGCAATGTTTTTCTTCCTGTTGGGTTATGAGAACTTCTCCTATCTCTAGGACACAGTTGCTTTATCAGATAGATGCTCGTTAAAGATTTTGGTCCAGTCCCCGGAACTCTGCTTGCACCACAGTTGCCCTGGACTCTTGGGGGCATCTCCATTCCAGCTGTGTCCACCCTGCCCCTCCCTTCCCAGGCCTGCCAGGGCTCAGCACACTGCTGACTGGCCCTCAGCAACTACTGTCCTTTGCTCCCAGATGGACGCCAGGGATCATGTGGCCACTGCATTTTGTCTGGATTTTGTGTTGGGGTTTATAGATGTGTTTGGGGGGGTCTCAGTTGTTTGGGGCAGTTAAACTGGAGGTTAATCCACTTTCCTGTTCCTGTCTCCAGCACGGCTCCAGAGACACCCTCCCCCACATCCCCTGCCAAAACAAAACAAAGACACCTTTTACCATGCAGTTCAACCTGCTCCTTGGTACGTGAGCAGACGTCACCCACAGTCCTGCACATGGATGTTTATAGCAGTCTTACTTGTAATATCTGTGATCGCCGCTGAGACCAGGAAGCAAGAGAGGTCCCCAGCAGGGGAGCGGGCACGTAGACCCGGATTATTCCAGTGCTGGGAAGAAGTTGTGTTCTCCAGCTGTCAGAAGACCTGGGGGCGCCTTCCTACACACCCCGGGCAGAAGTAGACAGTTTAGGAAAGCTGCAACTTTCCCCCCACCTCTAGGTTTTTAAAGTGTGTGTGTGTGGGGGGGGTGTTCAGACCACCCCAGCTGTGCTTGGGGGCTGCCCCAGCTCTGGGGACTCTCCTGCAGTGCTGGGTATTGATCTGGTGTCAGGGTTGGCTGTGTGTTAGCCAAGTGCCTGAACCCCTGGGTTGTCTCACAGGGTCTCTGGTTCTGCCTCTTGGACAGTCTGGAAAGACACAACTGTGAAGGAAGGCAGAAGAAACGTCAGTGGTCAGTAGTTGCCAGCTGTCGGGGAGGGAGGAGGAGGACAGAAGTAGGCTCTTAGGCACGTGGAACCTTTTTGTGTGCTATCATACTGGTCTGTGCATGCCTTGATGCACTGTCCCCGGGTAAAGTGATCACCAGGAGTGAACCCTCACATGAATCATGCACTTGGGGGACAATGAGGCGCATCTGTTTTTATCATTGTTATCAGAACTTGAGGTCACCAGTTGTCACAGCCTTATCTCTGGCCTCAGAGGCTGATCGGGCAGAAGGGGGTTCACACAAGGAGGCAACAGGAAGCTTAAGAGAAATCTGGGTTTCTGCATGGTTTGGCTATGAACTTAAAACTATTCTTTAAAAAAAAAAGCCAAAAATCAGTTCTACTAAAAAATATACCAGAAAAAAGGAAATTAAAATTAGCAGTATCATGTTTAAAAAAAATGTCCACCCAGGTCTGTTGACTGTCACCTGTCCCCAGAGTTTCGGGTGACACAGAGCACACTCTCTTGGTGTTGGGGCCCCTCCATGCTCAGGACCCCCAGGCCACATGCCAGCACTGCAGCGTGTGAGGGCTCTGCCCCTGCCCCTACTTGTGAGGTGGTATCCATGGATTTACCAGTGACCCCAACTGTGAAGATGTGGTAAAGTCTGAAGCCTTTGGACTTTTTTTTTTCTCTTCCCTGACTCCCCTTGGCCCTCTTATAAATTCGGTACATGGATGGGAATGAAACTGGGACTAGAGACTTAGGGTTTGCGGCTCTGTCTTGCACCTTCAGCTTCCTTCCTGTCAGTGGGAGCTCACAGCTTTGCCGTAGGATTGTCATACATGCAAATCATGTGGCATAGTGCTGGGCACATAGGTTTCTCCTGTCCATTCTAGAGACGACCAATGCTGATCCTAGAAACCAAAGCAGGGCTGGAGAGTGACCATGCGGGGCTGAGTGCGCACTCTGCATTCAGGGGGCTGGGCCTGGATCCCCCGCACTGCTCTGGCTTCCAGTTTTACTACTAAGGAGCTGTGACGGTTTCTGATGAGTGCCGGCCGCCATCCTAGCAAGTCCGGGCTGTTTCCCCTGCAGGCTCACCACACCGTGATGGACAACTCTGGGTCTGGCCTGGGCCCAACAGTATTTTCCCCACTAGGCAATGGGGAAGAAGTTTCTTCCAAACACAGAATCTGTGGGATCTCAAGAATATACCTAAGAGACAAAAGGGAACTGGACAAAGCCCTCCCCGCCTCCTGGCACATCCTGGCCTCCTCCGCCACAGTTCCAGGAAGATTCTTTGAGACTAATAACACGGCACAACTGATCGAATGCAGACGCCACCCAGCCTGGCCCGGGCA